ACCGAAAATCGTTCGACTCGCGCGAGGTTAATTAGCGGCTGATCGAGAAACGCCGCGATCGGTTCGCGAGAGAGAGAGGGCGCGTAGGGGCAATGACCGGGAGGGAAGCGTTCAACAGGCAGTATGACTATGACACTCAGTCTGTCAGCGTCGAGCTAACCCTTTTCCCGAGCCGTGAGTGCGTTTTCTTTTGGTGGTGCGAGAGCGTAGCGAATTTGGGTGTGGTGCGTTGGGTGCAACAGCAGCAGCAATAGCTATAGCAGCAGCAGCAGCAACAGCAACAACACCAATAGCAGCAACCGCAGTAGCAACAGCAACAACAGCAACAATAGCGGAGGGCGGCGAGTAGCGGAGCAGCTAACTAGCGACGCGTGCTTCGGATACGGTTGGCCACCGTATCCTCATCGTCCTTGCGGTAGGTGCACCTTCCCCTATTCTCGTTAATAGCGTGCGATCCTGCGCAGCGTGCGCGAAGTAATTGTTTGTTGCGCGCGAGCGGTTAGTTCGCGGCGATCGCGGTTTTCTCTCTCTCTCTCTCTCATTTAGCATATATTGTCATTTGCGTCCGCATGCGCAAGACTCTCGGCAGATTCCCCGTGTATTTGATCTAATCGAATAAATCGATTAATAGTTTTACATAAACGAGTCATCGTTATTTGTTCTTTCCTTTGTCCGGAGGTCGTTTCTGTTTACATTCGATTCGAATTCGCCGGTAGCGTAGCACGGATCACGCGAATACCGGTAGGCGGGAATCGTCAACAGAGTTTCCAGCAGCGGCCGCGCGAGCGCCACTAAGCAAGGGCGACAGCGCCGCCAAGCGGCGAGTTGGGGGAGCCCAACTCGGAGTATCGAAGAGACTCTGCGCAGGCGCACTCCAAGACAAGGTAGGTTGATGTGCTTCGAGCACATAGATAACTAGGCGTCGTTTAGTCATTTTATAGGTACGTTCAAGAGATATTTTAGACTAAACGGCAGCCTGTTACAAAAGATATTAAATACTACTAATTACTAATATTAAAGCAAATTAAAGTGCCTAGTTGATTTGAGCTTTAAAATGCAATTTTGAATGATGAAAATCACCTGTTTTGAAAAAATTATAAAAAAAAAGTGTATTTAATTTGGTTTTTCTCAATGTTTACAGCCAAAATATAATTTTGAAAAAGTAACTAGTATTGGTAGAAAACACTGAACCACAAGTATAATAAGGAAACATTGAATTAATAATATAATATTTCATTGCAATCTGCTCATGTTTATTAGAAAAAATTATTGTTCATTAAAAGTAATTTACGACCATAGAAATAGATTTGATTTTTTTCATTTCTATTGGAATTCATCTGGATGAAAATAAGAGTTGCTGCAAATATTTAAAAATTGAATTTCAACTACATATAATGGATAGGAGCATGTTTCCATATACATTTCACAATATGGATCCATTATAATAGAACTTTTGATTACTAAGGTTTTTACATTAAAATAAAATTACATAATCAAAAAAGACAAGTCTAATGTAACGTTTGAGTATTTCTCACGTTAATAAAAGTTCGGACTCTTTACAGAAAATTCGCAATAACGTTTCCGAAAAAAGCAAGAATTTTACACGCGCGCAGTCTGAAAAATCAAAAGGAAATCTTTCGAGTGGCAAACCACGACGTTTGCCAACTCGATGAATCGTTTTCGAGATGTAATTGAGAGCAATTGCATCTATCGGGGAAAGGCCCGACAGCGCCGCAATTACTGCTCAATCTGATCTCTCAATAGCAAGTGTATTTAGAAGGGAAGATCTCTAAGGCTGCTTTTTTCTCATGAGAGATATGGTCTCATGAGTTGAGCTCTTAGAGATCTATAGGATGGGAAGTTAACAGGCTAACCACTGATTAAGAAATTCGTCTCAGGAGATAGCTGAGGCTTTATTTCCAACAGTGCTCGCGCTGCTAAGCAAGGTAGGAGAATGAGTCCTTTTGCCGCAGCGACGAGCGAATTTATACATGCGAAATGGGCTCCTTTCTACGCTTGGTAGCCCCTACAACGCTATTTTTGTTTTTGACGCAAATTTTATACACGTTTTATCGCAAAATGGCTCGAACGAATTTACAATTATGTGATTTAAAAAATGAAACTGGAAAAGATGAATTTTTTAATATAAATTGCATTTCTAGGAAAAATCGCCTTTTAAAGTTATAAGCTATACAATTTAACAATCAAATTACGCCATTTTTACAATAAAATTATGGAAAATTTTTACATGGAAAAATCGCTTGTTGTTAGAAGATTGTTATCCATATAAAAGATGATTAATTTTGCTCTTTAATTTTGAATAATAATTAAAAAACAAATTTGCAATTTTCTTTTTTAGCGGTTTAAAAATCAGCAAATGAGTAACAATCTCAATCATCAATTTTACAGATACTTATGATCGATTTTCTATCTAACCGTGTCATTTTAATTGTTTAAAAAAATTATAAATTGTTTATTTATTGATAACTCAGTTAATAATGGGTTATCAAAGTGTCAAATTCTTGCTTTTCTGTTTTAACACGTCGAGATTGTAATCGCATACTTGAAATAACAATATCGTTGTTTATTGCAAAATAACTAACAATGTTAACTTGTAAATTAGATTTGACTAATAAATATCTATTTGAGAGTTAAATTAACATGAAATTCAGGATCAGCGCATCAAATTTGACTAAGAAATACTTTTGTTCGTTTAAAAAACTTTATAATTAACGATTTTCGGTTGTAAACAATAAATTTTCCCACGGTCGTGACGTTACGCTCCTTATATGGTAATGTTTTCGCAGAGTTGCCCTAACACATTTGCATATACGTGTGAAAAGCGCCTACGCTCAATTACCGATTTTCTCTAATTGTTTCGTGTATGACGGGTTGCCGTTTTGCAGACGAAAATAGGAGACAAATCAGACAGGACCGTTACACTAAATTCAATTCTTCAAACTAATAATCAAGCAATCAAAAATAAAAAATAAACCTTGCTCTTTTCTGATTATAAACCAACCAATGATGGCTTAAGATATTAACTCTGACTAAAGACATTAATGACTTAAAATTAACATGCGTTCTTACGGGAAAGAGCCGTTTTTTATGTTTTCAAATGTATTAAAAATTCAGAACTTTATAGCAAAAACAATTAAAAAATACGTAGAAAATTGTTCCAGATCAATACGCATTATCAAAATCATGATTCAGAAGTTGCAACAAATAGAAATTAAATAAATAATGTCCCAAACATATGCTCGACTGTTGCTCCCGCGCAACGCCGACTGACTAAAGCGTTTCTATGATTTTTTCTAATAATTATTACCAGTTTAAAAATAATATGCATGATGCAACGATGTTAACATTTTTTTCGGATAAACGGAAATAAATATCGGATTCTGGTAAAGTCCGCAAGAAACTTGCACGAGTAATAAAACAGCATTTAAGTGATATGATGCTCCAAATGTTTTCGTTTTAAGGTATGAATGATTTTCTCAATACGACAAATTATAACACAATAATCGTTTATTCAATGCGCGAGAGCAGAAGTTGAGAACCCCAGGGCTTTGGTACTACTTTAATAGAGTTTAATTATCTTTTAAAAGGCGTTGAAGTGCGATTCACCAAAGTTTTGATTGGATTCACGTTTATTCATGCCTTTTAAATACTTATCAAACTTTTAGAATTCTACTCTTTACTATTTCTTATTATTACCATTGCAAATTTGTACATTAAATTACATTTGAAACTGATGAAATATTTTTTTCACGGCTAGATTTTCTTTGGCTTCCACTTATTGTATCGAAATTTTACAATTGTCAAGATAAGATATTTTGTTACTTTAACCAAGCCCCTACGTGTCGATTCAGAGAATTTATTTTTCATTTCTGACATAGTATGCAATAAGAGAAATATGATTTTGTTTCGTATAGGAAAGAAGTTGGGAGTCGACATTTGTTCCCACTAGCAAGTGAAATTTTGATTCAAAATTTCGTCGGAAGGGAAGAAAAGTTTTTCTTCATCCAAGAAAATAATACCTGAAATTGTAGATTTCTAGGCAAACAAAGTGGCTTTCTTAAGGAGTATTTAAATTATTCTTATCGCTAATATAAACAATCATTAAAAAGTAAAACTTGAATGAATTAAACCTATATGGATACCTTATTACCCTATGTTTGTCTACTAATTTATGCTGTAGAAAAATTTACATAAATCTATTATTTTCAAGCACATTTGATCTTTGTTAATAATGGACGGATTATCGATTTGACAGTCTAATAGTTTGTAATAAACTACTTTTATAGCATAGTTCTCGTGGTGAATTGCAGAATTTTTTCGAATTATACTTCTTTCCACAATCTAGAAATAGTTTTCTTTTATTATGCTTATTTCCAGCAATAAAAAAGCTTGCAAAACATGTCCTCTTCATTTCAGCTAACTTTCGACAGTCCAATTATTTTCATAACATACTCATATAATGTCATTTGTTTCTTTCTGTTAGTTTAATGCATTTAATCAAATAACATAATTTATATAAAAATTTATATAAAAATTTATATAAAAAAACAAATAAAAAAACTTTTTATACTATTAAATTTCATCCGATAGTCGCTAAGTATATAAATTTTTAGGTTAAACATTTTCCTATGATAATAACACATTAATTTTGGCTGAAATTTGTAGTTAACATTGTCCCTTTCAAAACATTATTGAACATGAAAAAATTATTATTATTATTATAACGTAGAAATACAAAAGATTTGTATTATAATTAAAGATATTTGAACGATTATTTGGGTATTGGTAGTATTGTTATAGATAAGCGTAATCGATTTTGAGTCAAATAAAAATTGTTGTTTTTTCATCGTTATTTCATAAAGCATTCCATATTCTTTTAATTATTGTTTTCTCCCTAGTACGTATAGCTAATATATTTTTAATTTTAGTTATTGATGAACAAGTGGAAAAATCAAGAACCGAACCAATAGCTAATGCAAAAGATCTTCCGACTGGATATACCAGAAAAACGGTGATGTATGTATATGAAATTAAAATGATCTACAACTAAAATAAAAAAAGGGGGTGATATTAATTAAAACAACTTAATTTGTACGTATAATGAATAAACAATTAACGTCCTTTGACAGGTTCACCTTGGTAACGGTCAATTCATATCAGCGACAACACTTAGTAATGTTCATAGTGATTCACATACCCCGGGGCGACTGGTTGGTAATTTAATTGTAGCTGTGTTCAGCGAGTCGGTATTGAAAGATAGTACAAAAACTGGGCGCCCCAGCAATCGAAGCAAAGGAAAAACCGCACTTTCAGAAAATGATGGCAAGGTCGCTGTTTCAAACAAATCAAAAAAAATAGATGCTACACTTCTGGAAGCATGCAGAGGTAAATAATGAGTTTATGTATATGCAAATAAATCTAATGATACGTCTAGCATGAATAATTGTATACTTTTCAGCGTATTATAAATTTTGGTTGGAGACTTCTTATAAGTCTTACTTGAGTCAAAAAGATCAACTTCGATTTGAACCGTCTGTAGAGTACAACAGATTCGACAAGTATGTCACAAATAGGATCTCGAATCTAAAAAAACCTAAAGAGCCTTCTAAAACTAAGGTAACAATATACAAAATTATATGAATTTCCTTTTAAAAACTTATATTTTAATATGATTAAACATAAAATTGGATTAATAGATTAAGGAATTAGATGAGTCTGGCGAGACGGAAGAAACTGTAGAGGAAATAAGTGATAGATTTACGGAAACGCTTCCACGATCCTCTGCTATACTTTTTGTTAGTCCTCCGAAGGATACTGGTTCTGAAAAAAATTCAGAAGTAGACGAGGAGGAGCTACATTCTGAAGAAGAAACCCTTGACCCGCTTCAGGACTGATATGGATCAATCACTGAATGTTTTTTTATTGTTCCTTATATACACCGTACATGTATGGTCACTTTAATTTAATAAAAACTAATGAAGTAAATCTACTGTTGGACGCTATAACGGGGTTTTGACCCAGCGCGGGTCACTCGTTATATAAATTACGAGGGGAATAAACAGCTCGGTGTGGGCCTCGTAATAGGCTGCGCAAAGCCTAGCCCAGCGGCAACAGGAACGTCGTGGTGCAGCGTCTGTTACTTTGGCCCGCGGAGAGCGTCGTGTAGTCCTATGGGCGCTTTGGAATAATCACGAAATTTAGGTGCGAAAGCCGGACGGAACGGGATTGATTACGATAGGTAAAAGGAAGCGCAAGAGAAGAAAACAGATATACAAATAGCATCGAGTTTACTACGGAAAGTAATACAAAATTAATACGCAGCGTAAGCGGGAGAGAGAGTGGCGAAAGCTAGCGAGAGAGACATGTATTCGAGAAGGTACTTACAATAATATCTCGGCGTTAGCCCTGCAGGCGATGTCCTCAGCCTCGCACGTGGCTCGCGATGACGCGCAGTGTATAGCTCGGGTGCAGTCAAGAAACGGGCGGCCTTAAAGGCTCGCACGCGTGGTCGCAGGAACTAGCCCGCCAAAGGCACTAGGGGCAATCTCGGCACCGGTATCTTACACCGAGTAGACACTCGCGTACTCGCAGGCAATCGAAATGTCAGTCACAAAAGTTAGCCGCGAAAAGTCGGATAACAAAGAGATCGCAAGCACGAGTATAGCCGCTCGTCACACGTCCACGTGCTTCGAAGTTGCCGGTACAAGAGCGAAGTCCTTATCGCGCGCCTCTCCGAACTCTTCTCTCGCACGCGTCGCGCCGGCCTCCCGAATTCTCTCTCTCTAGCTCGCCCTCTATTAGCGCTCTCTCTGACTTACCTTTGGCTGCCATACATGTGGGATAAATATAAGACAATTATATACATAAGAATAATTATAATTATGTATGGGGAGAGAGAGACATAACGAGGGTCTGGCCACTCGTTATAACGCTTCCCATAGCGTAATTTCAAAACATTGATTACATATTATTTTCTATTTTATGGATAAATAATATAGAATTTGATTCTATGCATGAAAAATATGGACTTCTATCTACATAAATTCACTGTGAGCGACTGATTATGATATTCAGTATCATTGAATGCAATTAAAAACGTTTGAAAACTAAGGTTATCGATTAAAAATGATTGAAATTCACTAATTCTGCAAACGCAAAAAAAAGTTGAATTCGATACAAATACGTTCACTCAATTATTTCCTTTCATATTCGCTATGATTGAAAACTATTTGATTGGCTATTATTTATTCGTTTAAATTAGATTTTACCATTAAATATTACAACGATATTGATTCTGTTACACCAATGAATTCCTATCTGCGATACAAAGACGAAAAAGTACGATTAATGACGATTGAACAATACACACATCAGTATTCTATTCAATTCTATTGAAAATCGTTTATTAAATAGCAACCTTTCGTATTCAAAATGATTCATAACCAAACATTTTCAATGGAAATTAATCTTAACCAATAGCCTCAATCATAAGCTATTGTAATCAATCGCATGATCATGAATAGATTTCAATAGTAGGGGTGATCGGCACAATCTTCCGCAAATAGGATTCAATAGTCATTTTTACGTTCCACATCGAGGATTGAAACTCATTGACTTATTTTTAATGGTTTCCAATGGAACTTTTTCAGCAATATATTCATGCCTTGCGTGGCACTTCTAGTTCATGCACTCAATAGAGAGCAATTAGTGCCAAGGAAATAAAAGATTCATTGAAAGATATAACTTTTCATTTCACACTATCATCATGCCCCTGCCTCCAAAAATATTTAAATAGAAAGTATAGAATTCTAAGCTTGCTTCGTTTATGAAAATGTTGTAAAGACGAGCAAGAAGGGAACGGAAGGGAATTATATTAAAAACGTTGATTTCTTTAAGAAACATTTTTGAAAGAAACCGAACTAGCAATATGATTCATATTGTAACACAATTGTGAATGTTTGGATTGCAAAAGATGGTTTCTAACCTTTTCAAAACTTTTTATCAGTTTATCACTCAACCATTTAATCTTTGATTTTGTTAATTAAACTAGATTTTAGCTGACATTATTTTGCAAAGCTAATAAAAAAGCTAACATACCAGATTCTTTGTTCTTTCATAGTTATCCATAACACGTGCTGGAAATATTAAATAACGATAACAAAAAAGAGTTATTATTACACTATACAATAAATAAATGTTCAAATCCAGAATGAATATACTATTTACTCATTTAGTTGAAAAAAGTCCCAGTGTCAACTACCAAAACTGATGGACACTGCACGGCGGGTGCACAATTGAACTGAACAAGAATGCTTTAGTTTACTTTAGTTAGAGATAGTCTAGTTAAGTTGACACAAAAAAAAATACGCCATCAATAATATGAAAATAAAACGATGCTAGATACGTTCGACACTACTACTTAAGCTTATGCTTTCAGCTTGATTTAGGCTTGAAAAATGTAAAGACGTGATTTTTCTAAATAGCGAAGTTCATCAATAAGAAGATTATTTTACTCTTATTAATTCGTAATACGAGCAGGACTGTTTAATTGTAACTTAATTTAATTTTATAACTAGAAGGGTGCAGTTTGAGTGATTATCATATTGTATTCGTATTACAGGTTGACAAGGTACTATATATGAAGCTGTTAATAAATTGATATTTTTTCGCACATTCAAATCTGCCTAGTTCTGTCACCTTCGTTTAGTGATTCACGCATGCGCTTTGATCATGACTGCTCCATAGTTAATAAAAGAATTGTTTTAATTGATTACACAGGTATACAAATAATAAGACATTTTCTGTATCACAAGGGAGCTATAGTGTTCCTAAAGAGTTTTGATGCGCTGAATCCAAACCTGGCCTCTGAATTATTGCATTATGTCAGATTTTTGAGATGTCCCAACCTATAAGTGCAAAAAGCACTTTTTTTTAACATATTTCAGGTTTTGTAGCATCGTAAATAAATTTTTTCACAGAAAACTATTTAAAGCATCTTAAAGTACTGATCTTTCCCTTTCGAATGTCGTTGAGTTTGCCTAAATATCTTTTATTTTTCGCCAGGTATCACATTTTGAAATATTTATATTTATGAATTTCTTTTCTCAAAATTTATTTGCTCGTAATTTTGAAAAATTGAAATTCTGATGGTAGATTCGTATTTAGCGACCTGAAAAAACCCCGAGTTCTATTTCTAGAACACAATTTATGATTTGAAAAATTTTTCATTCGGGCATTTTGAATTCGCCATCTTGGATCTTGCAAAAATGTGTGCTTCAAAGTATTAATGGATTGTCGAATTTTGAGAAATTCATAAATATATATTTCAAAATATGATATCTTGTCGAAAAAAAAATATTTGGTCAAAATCAACGGTATTTGAAAAGAAAAGATATGTACTTTAAAATGCTTTAAATAGTTTTCTGTAAAAAAATTTATTTACAAAGTTACATAACCTCAAATATGTCAAAAAAAATAGTGTTTACTTTAGTGTTGTACTTTAAGATTAGGCTATCTCAAAATCCTAACGGGATGGAACAATTCCCAGGCCAGATTTGGATTCAGCGCACCAAAATCTTTTAGGAATACTAATGCTCGCTTATAATACAGAAAATAACCTATTATTTGTATACCTGTGTAATTAGATAAGGGGTTGGAAGTTATGATTATTGATTTTCAAGGTCGTCTTATGTGGAGGAGTAACTATTCGATAGATAGATGTTGCAGACAGTTATTATTACAGTTATTAATTTTATTTTATATTTATAAGTATGCAGTCTCAGCCATTAGTATATTCTACTTATAACATCCTAGTCATTAGTATATCTACTTATTAGGTCCCCCTGCTAAAAAAGTTCCATTCATTCCTATTCGGGATCATTCATATTCAATGGTAATCAATGAACTGAATGGTTCAATGTTCCGATGACGATTGAAACTGAATGATTTTCAATAATACTTCATGGTAAGCATAACTAATAGTAAAACTTACCATTAAATTTAATAGAATTCAATCTTTCTGAATAATACTTTGTATAGGAATGGTTTCAATGATAATCTATCCAATTGCATTGAATGAATATCAATCACAGTTCAATAAAATAATTAATCAATGATATTTTATTGTATATCTTTCTATGAATTTTAATAATTTTTCGATACAATAATTGTCCAATCATATTTTATTGAATCATATTATATGGATATTAATTTTTATCCAATTACACGGTTGGTCAATAATATTTTATAGAATGGTTTTCCATATATGCCAATATGAGCAAAAGCAATACTGTAACTTTAGCAATATTTCATTTAATAGTTTTTTTTTTAATCTTAATGATTGGTCAATATAAAAATAACCCAATCGCATTCAATGAGGTATAGTATTCTATAATTTCTTATGAAAGGCAAACAAAAAAATTTCAAATATTTTCAATTGAATATTTTTTAATGAAATCTAATGATTGGTAAATGCAAGTAAAACTCAATCGTATTCTATTGAGAAGTTGTTTGTATAGTTTTGAATAATCCTTCATTCTACAAACTTATCAAATATAATTTTATTCTA